TTTCTTAATCCAGCTCAGTTTTTCCCCCTCCCTGGCAGAGAACCAGTTAGTTTTAACCTTTTAGAAACAAACTAAGCTGGGATGGAAAATAAAACTCTAGGGCTATGTCTACTCTTGCGGCTTCTTGCGCGAGTAATATGCAAATGAGGCTAAGCGTGGAATATCGCCGAGCCTCATTTGCATACCTAATGAGCCACCATTTTCTTCAGAAGAGGCTCTTGCGCAAGAAGGAGCATCTACACTGCCCCTTGCGCGATGCCGTTACACCTATTACTTTTCAGGAAGAACGGCATTGCGCAAGAGGGTTCAAGAGCCTCTTCTGAAAAAAATGGTGGCTCATTAGGTATGCAAATGAGGCTCGGCAATATTCCACGCTTAGCCTCATTTGCATATTACTCGCGAAAGAAGCCGTGAGTGTAGATATAGCCTAGGGGATCAAACTGGGGAGAAACTTCCTCTAAACTTAAAGAAGGTGGTGAAAGTTCCCCTACATCATTCCCTTCTCTAACCCTCAAGCCTTTCCATGCTGGAGCTCCTTGGTTGGGGAGCTGTGGATCCAGACAGGGCAGAAGAGAGACGGAGCTGGGAATAGATCTCTGAGTTTTGGGGCTGGATGGGAGCAGGAACTAAGAAGAACCAGTACTATTCTGGTAGCCAGGTCCTCAGATCTACCCTGAACTCAGGACACCCATGAGCGCATGGCCTCTCTTCTCGTTGATGGAAGGACAATCCACTTCCCTCTGACAGAAACCTTGTAAGGTTGAACTCACTGACTCTTCTGTCTCCTAACTGTATTTTTCCTCAAGAGAGGACAGTGTGACCCTTTATTTTTAGTCAGTCAGTAAGATGTGTGTGCTTTACAATGAGCAGAGCGAGGGGCAGAGGTCTGGAGGGAGCAAGCTGTGTCAATGCCTTCCCAGTGTTTTTTAACAGCAGCATTTTACTGAGTACAGTGTGGGATTTTATGGAGCAATTAGTTTACTGACTAATAATCTGAGAATAGCTTTGTGTTTTGGCCAAGAGCCTCTGCCTCTGGCTTAAGTGGGCCAAATTCCATGTGCCCTGCACAAGGCCCATTAAAATCAAAAGTGGCTTTTCCTGCAGACCAAAATTGGCAGTGGGCCCATGTAATGTGGAGCCCACCACTCTGTTCACTCTGAGAAAGGTCTAAGAAGTGACATTCATCACATCCCCTTTCACCCAACCAATGTGGTCACAATAGTGCTGGTCAGCAAACTGGCAAGCAGTCAGTGGCCTCACTTTTATCCCGACTTTGACATTAGCCCCTTTCTTTTCCCTAAGGGTACCACACTCTGCCTGTGTTTTTAAGCCATGTAGGAAATATTCTTCCACACCATGAGCGGGTCACCAGATGTCTATCAAGATAATCTATGTGCTGACCCATCTGACTGGGGAGTAACATCTCCCAAGCACCTGATGGTGATAGGTACTCCAAATAGGCCAAGCTGTATGTTAGGAGAGGACTGGCTTGTCCAAGCCAAGAATAACAGTGCACACTGCGCACCAACAACTGTATGATTGTTTTCATTACAATAGTACCTAGAGGCCTCCAACCAAAATTAGGAACCCCGTGGTGATAAGCAATGTACAAATACAGAGTAAGATCCAGACTGTGACCCCAAGAAATTGCAGTCTAAACAGACAAGACAGGCAAGGGATGGGAGAGAAAACAGACACAGTGAGATGAAGGGACTTGCCCATGGTATTACAGCAAGTCAGTGGCATTGCTGGGAAGAAAGCCCATTGCCCCATTAGATTTTTAGTAGAATGCTTTATCCCCAGAGCACCTGTGCTTCTTAGACATTTCACGCTGAGTGCTATCCTTGGCCGCAATGTATTTCATAGATATTCTAGGCCTGATTCGCCACTGTGCTAGCCTAGTTCTATGCTGATGGGTGCAGACACCAAATTCTTGTTTACTATAGTCTAATCAGCTGCTTCAATAAAAGATATTTTTTGTGTCTTGTGTAGTTTACCCTTCTTTGGAATCTGATGAAGATAATCCAGTATTCAAATCACGATCAAAGAAAAGAAAAAGTTCTGATGATGCCCCCTACAGCCCGACAGGTACGTGTAGTATGTCATGGCTGTCCAGTATCAGGGAGGATATTTCAGAATGAAAACTGAGAAGGAACAATGGGATTCATTATTTTAATCATAAAGATTGTGCTTGTCTGGAGTGTTCAGTTGCAAGACTAACTTAAAAAAAATAGTTCCACTTTTACAATCAACTACATTGAATTTAACACCTTCTGGGCTGTTTCTCTTCAGCCACCTTTTAAAAATCAAAAGCCACCTTCTGTAGGCTGTGGGTATCTTTTCCCTCCTACTGGTGAAATTGATAATGTATTTGGAGAAATCTAGCAGTGCTGAGGCTGCCTACAGCTTATATAGGAAAAAAGCATTAAAAAAGAAAATGGAGCATATAAACTATTCTATTTTCATTAAAAGCTCTGTAAAACCTAATCACTGCAGGGGATAGTTTCTGTGCTGTGCCTTACAGGATGTGCCACATTTTATAGTGCCCAGATTGTGGGCCGATGCAGCTTCTGGTGTGTATGGGAGAGCTCCTGGGGTTTGGCTGGGAAGCAGCTCAGAGTGTCCGTAGCTGTCAGTGCTGCCTGCTACATTAGTGGGGCTAAGATGGACAGGGGCAGTGCAGGCTGCTTCTGGGAGCCTTGTACAACATCCATCCTGGAAAAATTCTCTCCGGGCTAGTTGGGATGGGAACAGTTTGTGAAAATCCCTGTGAAGCATTTTGCCTGTTCATGTGGAATAAATTCACATTCCTTGAATGTTTCATTGTTCATGAAGTGTGGTCAGTTTTGGAAAATCTGAAAGCGAATACAGGTTGCCTCCTGAAAGCTATGTTGTTGAAGTAGAGTCCTGAGCTCTGCTTCTACATCTGCCATTCAATGACATTCATAATACTTGGCACTTATAGGTGTTAGCCTCATTTAAAAAGAAGCTTTCCTTTTCCCTGGTCACCCTCTTGGCCTTCATTTTGCTGCAGGCCTACCCCAGGGCCTGGCAATTCAAAAGGACCTGGAGTTCCTGGCCACTGCCGCTGCAACTGAGGCACTGGGCAGTGTGTGCTAGGTGGCTCTGAGGGCTTCCAGGGACGGGGGCTGCAACATGCAGGGCTGGCCTTACCATGAGGCGAACTGAGGCAGCCGCCTCAGGTGCCAGGGGGCGGGAGGCGCCACTAGGACCCAGTGTAGAAATTTGTGTCTGCTGCTGGTGCAGATGTAGGTAGCAGAGCAGCACCATGAGAGGAGTAGAACAGGAAAAAGGCAGAATGGAGACCTTTCAAAGTTTTGGCCCCAGCGAGAGGGCATGGGGGCGTGATTTGAGCTCCCGCCTCTGGTGCCAAAATGTTGTGGGCCGGCCCTGGTGACATGTTCCAGAAGACGCTGAGAGCTGGCTGCCTCAGCCCTGCCCCTTCTCCGAGTGCAGCGCTGCCCCCATCGCCATGCCCGGGGGCTTGAAAAGTCTGTCGGCCCCCTGCGCTGTTGGAATATGGTGCTTCCCCTCTACAGAGAGAATCGCTGTTGTACTGGATTTTGATTTGTTCTTTCATTTAGCAAGAGTTGGCCCCTCAGTACCTCGACAAGACAGACCTGTCCGAGAGGGTACAAGAGTTGCCTCCATTGAAACTGGTTTGGCAGCAGCAGCAGCCAAATTATCTCAGCAGGTGAGTTTGCATTCAACGTAACTTTCCCTTTGAAAATACCATTTTTTTCCCAAATGGAGCCATCTTCTCCTATTGCTTATTGAATGTTAACTATGTTGTAATGGCAGCTCATACTTAATTACTGCACAAGTCCAATTCTATACTTGGTGAATCATACCAGTAACCTCAATAGAAACAGGACCAGGCCCTAACTCACACTTTTAGATTTCCAGTGACACCACAGACTAGAGGTTTCTAACTTAGGTGCTTTTAAGCACACTGACAAAATTATCAGCTGGGCAGATCAAGTGAACAAAGTAGTATTTGGGGGAAGTCTTCAGTATAAGCACCTTTTAATTCAATAAGACTGATGGATACATTTACAAAGGTGCTTATGAGATTTAGAAATGTAGCTCCCATTTTCAAAATGACAGTAGGCATTTGAGGCCACATTTGCCAAAGGTATTTAGCTATTATGTGCTTAGGCACATCATAAGATTTTCAAAAGTTCCTAAGCAGGTTAGGCACTTGAATCCCTTTAAAAAATAAGATGCAAATACTTATGTCTCTTAAGCATTTTTGAAAATATTATGCTAAATAACTGAAAATTGAGAAATATACCAGATTTTCATAGTGTTTGTGAATTTAATTTTTTTTATATCAGATTCTGAAAGTTGCAATAAAACATTTTTGTATCTTGTAAACTTCACGGTTATGAAAATGGATGTCTGGATACAAAACATGCTGAACTTAATGATGCTTATAGAAAATCCTCATAGGAAGTAGGGGTAAATGTAGTGCCCACTGTCAACCTCATGGAGCCCCTGGAGATGTCTCGCGGAGCCCTGGGGCTCCACGGAGCACAATATGAGAAACTCTGTGCTGTTTTGTAATATGCTGTTTCGGAGTATTTCTTCTGGAACATCTTATTCTTAAATAATCATGCCGTGTAGACGTTTACCCTAAAGTACCAAAAATAAAAATTAGATATCTGTGACAACACACAGTTGACTGAAATGGCTGTTTTTTCCAGTTTAGTAATCCCATTTTTAACAGGCTACTAAAGCTTTTCTAATATCAGCCTGCTACCATCCACACTGGCTGTGTCTAGACTGGCCAGTTTTCCGGAAAATCCACCACTTTTCCGGAAAAACTTGCCAGCTGTCTACACTGGCCGCTTGAATTTCTGCAAAAGCGCTGACGATCTCATGTAAGATTGTCAGTGTTCTTGCGGAAATACTATGCTGCTCCCGTTCGGGCAAAAGTCCTTTTGCACAAAACTTTTGTGCGAAAGGGCCAGTGTAGGCAGCTCAGATTTGTTTTCTGCAAAAAAGTCCCGATCTTGAAAATGTCGATCAGGGCTTTTTTGCGGAAAAGTGCATCTAGATTGGCACGGATGCTTTTCCGCAAAAAGTGCTTTTGTGGAAAAGTGTCCATGTCAATCTAGACGCTCTGTTCCAAAATGCTTTTAACAGAAAACTTTTCCATTAAAAGCATTTCTGGAAAATCATGCCAGTCTAGACATAGCCACTGAGTTTAAAATGTTCTTTCATTGTGACCAGAATTCACCATAGGCCATCACAGGCCTATGTACATAGGTTGTGGTCTACATTGGCACTATTCCCAGCTGACTTCTGAAGAGATGTTAATTTTTCCCCATGAGGTGAAAAATATTTAGCCTGATTGTTAGTGACTTTGATACTGTGCTTGTCTCAGGAATGGAGAAGGAAAAGGAGGTTTTAAACCATCTTTGTGCTCCCATATACTGGGCTTGTGCACAGGGCCTGGCCTAGCAGTCAGCGTGTGTAAGAGCAGCCTCAAGTCTACCATAGAGGAACTATCCTCTGGGAAACAAAGTGTAGCCACAGAGCAGTGCACCCTGACCACTCCCCTGACAGGCAGCACACACAGAGAGCTGAGGAAGAGCCAGTTTACAGCCTTACGTCAGCTCTCTACTGTCTGGGGAGCAGACCACCTGCACTAGGAGTGTCCTCATTGGGCCAGTTTTGCCCACTCTAAGGCCTTGTTACGCTGCCAGAGAGTCATAAATGGGCCTTGATGTAACTGAGAATCAGGCCCATTATATTTATCTTGTAACATTATTATTTGTATTATTGAAGAACTTTGGGACCTGAGACCTGTATCAAAGTACCATTGTGCTAGGGGCTGTACAAACAAGGCCCAAAGACAGTCCCAACCCCTAAAAGCTCACAAGTTACGGAGAGACCGCAGGTGGTGGATGCAACTGACATACTAGGAGATAGTTTTCACTTGCAGTTTCTAATAACCCTGTTCGCTCTGTGTCTTAATCCAGTTCTGACAATATCCTCATTCTTGACATGATACACAGTGTAATAGCGCTAGCAAATGCCACTGGTTGTCATCGTAGCTAAATGGGGCTTCTCTGCTTTATTGAAAGGAGGAACAAAAAGGCAAGAAGAAGAAGAAGACCAAAAAGAAGTTGTCACCCAACAACACAAATAAACTCTCTCAGGAAGGCAGCTCTCCTGAACCCAAACTGGAGTCCCATGCCAGCAGTCTAGCAGATCATGAATACACTGCTGGAGCAAGCACCTTTGGGGTCGCCCAAGTCAACAGAGGCTCGCAACCTATGGCACCTGGAGTTTTCCTCACCCAGAGGAGATCCTCCTCCTCCTCACAGAATAATGCAGCTGCCAAAGGTACTGTAAATGTTCATGGCAAAGATCCATGCAATTATTTAATCCTTCTCCCTACTCCATTGTATACTTGTTATCTTACAGTAGAGCTAAGCTTATTTACACCAGTAGAAGAGCTGGCTTTGAGTACTGAGTTGGGTTTTCATTGCTGGCCTGTGTTCCACTATGTGTGGGTGTCTTATGGGGGAAACAAGCCCTAGTACTTACCAAAGCAAACTCTATAGGCTATTCCCTGTTTTAGAGGAACTCATATCTGTGTCACAATCCAGCTCCTCTAGTATCTACAAAGCCATTCACAGCAAGAGCCTTTCTCCTGTCACATTTTACCCTTGGCTTGTTCCAAAATTCCATGTTTTCCCACTGTCTTATATATGTTTTTTCTGCGATTACCCCAGTGGAGTCAGGATCTGCACCATAGATCTTAACACAGATAAAATTCGAATGCATCTGTTCTTTCCTACATTTAATTTCAATTATGCAAATATATAAACTATATTTAGGAATTACTGTTTGAAGGAAATGATAATAGGAAAAATCCATGCGAATCAACTTGCTTTTTAATATTTTTGTTTGCTCTCTGTAATTGGAATTTTATGCTTACACTGGAGAATAGATGGATTTTTGTTTGTCTTCCACTACCTCTCTCTGGCTACGTCTAGACTATAAGCCTCTTTCAAAAGAGAGCGTCTAGACGGCAACCACTTCTTTTGAAAAAGCAGCTCGCTTTTTCGAAAGAGAGCACACAGGCAGTCTGGATTCTCTCTTTCAAAAAAGCCCTGTTTGCATTCAAGAACGCCTTTTTTTGAAAGAGTACTTTTGAAAATAGGTGTTCTTCCTAGTAAAATGAGGTTTACCACGGTCAAAAAAACCGCCGCATTCTTTCAATTTAATTTCGAAAGAACGCAGCAGCAGTCTAGACGCAAGGGCAGTTTTTTTTAAAAAAGGCCACTTTTTTCAGAAAATCCCTGTAGTCTAGACACAACCTCTGGGTCCACATGGAAGTTAAGAAAATGGTGGAGGGCGATAAGAAGGGAGGAGAGAGAGAGAGAACTCCCAAAATAACAAAATCAAAATAGCATGTCCCCACTACAGGGAGCCTCGAAATTAGTCTAAAGCAGGCTTCGTTAATGTGCATGCTCTATCTTGAGTTAAAACCCCAGGAAGCACCGGGGAGTAATTACTTCAAATTACTCTGGGGAATACTCTGTTATTTCGAAATACCAGCAGCAGAGTATCCACACTAATGCTATTTCAAAATAACTATTTCAAAATAAGCGTATTCCCTGAGGAAAGCAGGAGTACAGATTTCGAAATAACGGGCTTGGTACTATGGATGCTCCATTTATTTCGAAATAACTCCCTAGTGTAGACCAGGGCCAACAGATGCAATGTCTGATAATTTAAGTGACTATTTCCCATGGTTTTAGAACTAGATGGAATTTACCGGCGATAGCAGGCAATTTGACATAGTCCTGTATGTCATGTGCTTAATTTGAAAACATCTGTATCCTTAAATGGCTGAAAATGTTTGAAATAACTTGTTTGAAATGTCAGAAACATTTTCTTAACAAGCTATTATTTATAGCAAACTCTGGGTCCAGAATACAAAGCCAAGTAAAAGTCAGAAAGATGCCAAGGAATTTTTTTCATGCACCAAAATTAAATATTTAATTCATTACATTGTAATGCGTTCTCATTCGGGCACAAGTTGACCTGTTGAAATGAACTGGATTGTGTAGAAAACCAGGAATAGCTGAAAATGCAGCGGGCAAGGTATGCAAGGCTGTCCAAGCTTTGTGCCAGGAGGCAGAGTCTAGGGGTCAGACAAGGACACATGATGATGGGACTCCCTACCTCTGTGATGGAGCCGACAGCAGAAGAAGCAAATGCTTGACCTCTCTGGGAGAGGAAAATGAATGAGTAACTCTTTCTGACATCCCTGCGTGGCTGTTAATCAGAAGGAGGCTTTAGGATGCCTCTCTAGAGAGCCACATGGTGATTGCTAAAACAGGGCCTGCAAGACTGAATTTAATGGAGATTTTGTAATGGAGATTTCAGGAAAGGATGAAGGAGGCTGCAGTGTTAAACCAAATCAGCCAGTTTGGGGCCAGCTCTTCTGCTGGAGATGTCCAAGAGAGCTCAGTCCAGTCCAGCGCTGGAGAGAGAACATATATTTAAAACAGCAGCATGATTTCCCTCCCTTTTTTACAGTACACTCACTGCCTACCTGGAAGCCTGATTCAAAACCACTGAAGTCAGTGGAGAGATTTCCATTTCTTTTATTGTTCTTGGAGATATATATATATAAAATATGCAAACAGACACAGCTATATTCCCGTATTTGAGGGTGTGTATATGTATGTTATATACACAAAAATAAGAATGTGTAGGTTACATATCTGTGCGTATTATCTTGACTACATACACAGTATGAAAAGTAAAGGTAAGTGGTAACTGAGCATTTATGTTTGTTTACTCATGTGAAGGTGTACAATTCTTGGCTTGACATGCAGCTAAGATCTTAATTACACTTCACTGTGGTTTCTTGAGGAAGCAGAAGACAAGTGTCTAGAGGGGGAAAAATTGCTGGCAGCATAAAAAACAGCACGTGCAACTTTATACAAGAATAGGTTTTAACTGTTAACTTCTAACACATGATTTCCATAATCTGACTTCTCCGTGTTGTTTTACTTGTGTCAAATTTGTTCACACTCTGCCAGAGCTGTTGTCTAGGATGGTTACAGTAGCTGGACAATGGGTAAAGGATACATTTGTGCCTACCTACTGCTTTCTCCCCAGTGGGTGAAGACAAAGGTGACCATGTTGCAGTAGTCATGATGATCCGGTGCATCACATGCTAGAATGGGAGTCAGGGGACGTGACCTGATCAGTCCTCCACTCTGTTTCTGGCTCATTGTGGAGTAATTTATTTGTTCTCCACCTTTTCTGTGTGTCAATGTGGAAGATGGCACTTTTGGTTTTAAAACTGCCCAGAAGAAAGGCACTGCTCTATCAATAGCATCATTTGTAGTAAAGTATGGAAGAACGTGGAGATGGTTGAGCTTTGATATTTCAGTCTTTGCCCAGCTGAATCTTTTGTTCACTTGAGTAGGAGGCTTGCCAGTAAAAGTTGCAAGATCAGAACCATGGCTCAGCCTAAGCCTTCGTGCCACTAGCAAGACACAGCCAGAATATCTGCACTTGTCTGATTGTTCATGGATTAAAAGATAGTTTCTGTGTCACTTTATATGACACACCATAGAGGAGTAGGTTACACAGGAGTGCAAGCAAAAAGCCAGAAAACAAGTATATGACAATGTAAAATCAGGAACGAAGTTGATATATTTCCTAGATGTGTCAGAGTGAATATGATGGATGTCACAATATGGTCACAGATGAAAAGGAAACAAAGTGTACTAATGCTGTTAACTATTATAGAATTTAATCATTATGTCTTAAAAGAATAAATACAATTAAAATGAACCTCAGTTTTTGAAACTGTGCACTGTTTTCTTCTTTAACCTAATGCAGCGAGAGAGACAATCATAAGCTTTGCAGCTTTTAAAGTGCACAGTTAAGCTGTCTATAGAAATTAATTTTTAAAAACTTTCTTTCCTGTGAATGCTTCCATTCCAAAACACGAGGGTTTCACACCACGCTTGGAACCATCTAAATTCATTTAAATATGGAGAGTGAGTTTGCACTAATTTGTTGGTACTGAGTTTTGGACACATGGACAATTGAATAGAGCCCCCTACAGAATAAATGTTTGCATGCTTTCAAATGCATTTGGTTAATCAGCACAGTGACATGGGGAATGGTACTTTCAGGATTTTTGTACCACCTCGGTTTCACTCTTACTATGGATTTTAACCAAGTTTCATTAAGACAATCACCAAGAATGAGCTACTATAGAATGGAGGTTGGGATACACAGCGCAGCATGTAATGTATGGCAATATTCTGACTGATGTGTTAAACCCGCACACGTGCGCAAACACACACACACATCTTAACTTTGAGAATTTGTAGTATACACATCCAAAATGTAATCACTTCAGTGTGATTGTACCAGTTTATACCACCTTGGAAAGTTTTTGTACCAAGCAAACCTACTCTGTTGTTTCTACATAGTTGCTGATGCTGTTACTTAACATGTTCATTTTTTCCCCCAATTTTCAGGAAAACGTACAAAAAAGGGCATGGCTACCGCGAAACAGAGGCTTGGGAAGATTTTGAAAATCCATCGGAATGGGAAACTTCTCCTTTAATATTTTGAAAACTGGGACTTGATCAAAGCTCAGTAATTCCTGAGCAGACACTAACTCTTCAACTCTTGAAGGACTTCAGTAGTATTGTGCATCATCTTAGGGACAATACCAGTTAACTTTTTGCCACCACTTTAATAATTCTTTTTAACTTTCAGCAGTTAAAGTGTACAGAATACTGCTATAAATATTTTTTAATATAGATGTCCTTTCTCAAATTGCTGAGAGTGACTAGTTCGCAAAAAGTTAATGATAACCCAAGAAATTGAGGATCATTCCAGTTTTAGGAAAGTATCCCTTTAACTTGTTCATAAGTGGAAATCAGTTGTTTTAACAGAATGAACATCCATTTAAGTTACATTTCAATTAGAAAAATACTGTCTTTAAAGAGGTATCTGGTCCAGGAGCAAAAAATTAACTTTAAAATTCTGCATTTGTCTAACAATATTAAAAGTGGGGGACCGTAAGTTTGATTTCTGGGGACATTTTCCCATGCTATAGCAACTACAGCAGGCAGTCTGCACAATGTGAAACTTAATTATCTCACCCTGACCATAATAGGGATGTGTTGGAGGAGCATTACTGCACTTGAGCACTACCCTGTGCGCCTCCAATAGCTGCTGGTTAGACAACACTGGGTGCACGAGGCAGCAATCGTTATGCACAGTGGGAGCTGGTTTACTGGGGTTTTGTCACTGGTTGGGATTTTTAGCTCTGTGTCTGTGAGTCTGTGGTTTTTTAGCTAACTGACACATGATGGTACAATAGCTTGTGTCAGTATCAAAATCAAAGCACACAAAGATGTGTTGCAGACTTTGCAATCACTTTAACTGCAGTCCATGAGGTCAAATTTTGTTTCTTCATGTGCAATTTTTGACGTTTATATCAAAGCACTTCTTATCAGAGACACTTACCTTGGGAACGAGGGCTGCATACACCCAGGTGTCAGAGAGTGGGAAAGTTTAGCTTATTGACAATTTGACTGGATACTTTTTTGTCGTTTAACTCTTTTAGTGTTTGGTGTAGAGTGCATTCTTTTACCTTAAACTGCTTGTCTGCATATAAACACTTGAGGGGTTAAATTTGTTTCTCAGGCAATCCCACATTTTAATTTTTAGATGTGTTTACTAAGGCATATTTTTCATAGAATGTAGCTTGTAAATAGCTTTTTAAATAACTTCTTTTTTATAAAAGTAAAGTATCTTTAGACATTTCTTTCTATAGACGACTTCGTTAACATTTATACAAGTCATTGCTGAATATTATCAGTTGTATTTTAGTTTGATTTTAAAAGGGCGGGGTGGTTTTTGTTTTGGTTTCACTTTCTTTTTGGGGGGATTTGGGCGTTGCCTGGAAAACAAGTAAAACTTTGTGCAGCCTTATAAAATGTCTTATACAGAATCAAATAGTACAAAATAATCTATTTAAAACACATTTTGAAGAATAATCTTCAACTTTAATACCAGCTCTTTGTTTTAATTCTTGTATTATGAGGGGATACAATTATTTTACTAGCACCTTGTGAAGTGTTTCTGTGTTTTGTGATGATGTAATTTATTAATGTTTGTAGCTTTTTATATTTGTACATTTCTTATGAGCTTTGTTTATATACACATTACCTGGATGTGATGTCCATGGGGATAAAAAACAGCTACAGGAAACAACTGAGGCCTTATTAACTAACCTTTATACTATTACAGTGGGACATAGATTCTGAATGCTAGGAGTCTGAGAAAGTTAGTTGAATAGGGCCCCAGATTTATGCAGAGCAGGGTTTTTAAGCTTCCCTAGTATACTGTTCTTGTTGAGCATTTATATAATATAACCCAGACATCATGCTGTTTTTTTATTATTATTTTCGCAACATGTACATTTCTAACAAAGTTTATTGTGGCTATCTATTACAGTGTTTTATTTACTGATTCATATCAAATGCTCTTGTATCAAGTCCATGAAATCTAAGTAAACTTAGATCAAAGTTTAAAAAAAAAGTAAAATATTTCAGGTTTTGTATAGAATTGTGTTTGGTGTTTTTGTAGAGTTTTTCACTCTAACTTATTACTTAATCATTAGTAGGGGCTCAATAATGTGATTTCATAAACATGCCACCTGACTGATGTCAACAAGATAGGATGTGCAGATACTATGGAGCAGATTGCGATTCTTTGTTGGTGGCTCCTCTTGAGTTAGAGAAGGCAGCCATGACTGGGCGGAGATAGTCGGAGAAAAGTTTAGAGTAGCGAGGTGATCGGGAATCTCATAAGTTGGGAATTCTGCTACCTACGGAAGGTCTCAATCATGCACATTGGTCCACATGGATATGCATCCCTTCTCTGCCGTGCCTGCATGGACCTATGTCAAAGTCAGTGAAGTTCCATGCAAACACAGAGAATCACCAGTGAGTTCTTATTGCAGGGTTAGGATCTACATCTGTAAAGTTGGATTGAAAAATCTCCTGTGACCAGGCCTTTTGGTACTCTCAGGGGGCTGCTATTTTTCCAGAATCGATTTAGCAATCTCTACTTGTGTACTAAAAAGATCAAAGGTATTTTCAGTCCAACACTGGCATAAACCACCAGAGGCCATGGTTAAAAAAATAATAAAGAGGAGCATTAAAAAGAAGACATTTGCATGGTCTAACATCCAGCACAGAAATAACTCCATAGAGCACGAGGCAAGGCCGAAAGCAGTGACATAGCACAGCAGAAAAGATTTATTTTCCCAAGAAGTTTATACCAGGTCTAACAACCCATCTCTCAGCTTCAAATCAGGCTGTTTTCTAGCCAGTCTTCCTTAAAGTAGTAATTGGAAGCTGTCAGTGAGCTCAGTATCATATCCTGTCCCTTTTCTCCACCTACCACTGCCAGCACCAGTCTCCACGCCCCCCGCCTCTCCTTCTTTGAACAAACCACTGGGTCTTGGCCTTGTGGATTGGGTTAGGAGGCAAGAGTTGAGGAAGAGCTGGTTGCCTCAGGTGTCAAGACGAGGAGGTGGAGGATGGTGTATAGTGGCAGAGAGGAGAATGGGAGTCTTGGATTAGGCAGGTTCCCATTCTGTATTGCCTTTTGCTTCCACAAAGCCTCACTTGAGTGGTCACCTCTAGCAATTCCTTAGATACAATCACAACCACAACATGACACCTGAATGTTGCAGAGAAAGTGGAACAACCAGAATATTTCAAACAGTCCTAATCATTAGCCTTTCCATAACTGAATTGATTATCTTTTGCATTGCTAAGGGTCTCAATTGATGCAGCTTCTCCATTAATACAGTTATTTTTATTTTGTTCCAGCACACAGGCAAAACACACTTCTGAATGTTGTAAAACCCTGCATTCTTGACAAACCCAAAATGTGGCACCTCACAAAAGATTAAACTACTAACCTAGGGTATGTCTACACTACCTCCCTAGTTCGAACTAGGGTGGTAGTGTAGACATACCCCTACTTCTCAAGAAAACTCAGCACAGGATTGTCATACATGGGCCAAGTGCACTTTCTGCGACTGCATGCCTGAAAAACTAAGAAAGGAATCATAGAATCCTAGCGCTGGAAGAGACCTCAGGAGGCCAAGTCCAGCCCCCTGCCCGACGCAGGACCAATCCCAAATAAATCATCCCAGCTAGGGCTTTGTCAAGCTGGACTTAAAAACCTCTAGGGATAAAGATTCCACCACCTCCCTAGGTAACCCATTCCAGTGCTTCACTACCCTCCCAGTTTTTCCTAATATCCAACCTAGACCTCCCTCACTGTAACTTGAGACCATTGCCAGTGAGGAAAGCTTTCTCGATTTAAGCAAGAGGCCCTCCTCTTTTATCAGCAATGGGAGCAGCTGGCACAGGATTAAAAAATACAGAACACCAGTGGCTGGAGCCATCCTAGCAGGAGGGGCGCAGAAGGGAAGTATGGCATCACATGTGTTACATAATGTGCTGCAAAAATAGTTCTGCACCATGACCTGGATTTTTGTCCTTGATTCATCAAACACTTGCCATGAAGCACGTGAGTAGTCCCACTAAAGTTACCGGCATCATACAAGCTGTGTTTATATACCTTGATGAAATCAGGCCGCAAATCAGCATGTGTTGAATTACATCACGCAATATGTGCTACAGTATGTGATGGGATAAACTGGTGACAGCCCTTGAAATTAATGTGACATGTTAAAGCCGCTGAGGCTCTGTCTATGCTATGCTGCTTTTAGCTCTGTCAACACGACCCTGTTGGTTAAAACTGGTGCATGTGAATGCTGTTTGGCAGTGCTTTTGCTGACAAAATTCTTCTCCTCCCACAAACGGCTTTTGTGTTGAGACTTGTTACCATAGTTCAAGTTCAGCAGACTGACCATGCGTTTTTAAAGCAAGACATGCTGCACGCAGGCGTGGTTAGTGTTCTGTTAAATCAAAAAATGTGACTAGCCACTAGATGGCACCCAACTTCTTCATTAGAAGCATCATTTGAATTAGTGTGACCCATTTGATTTAGCGGACAGAGCCCTGACATGATGATGATGGTGTTGTTTAACCTTTTCCCAAAGTAGGCTGGTGACTATAAAAGAGGGGAGAAAATATCCCAAAGTCAGTAGTCCAGCCCCAGTCCTCCTACAACTGTGGAATTGGAGCACTCAATGAGATGTAAGAGAATCACATCCCCATGCAGCCTGATCCTTTACAGGGCCTTGAACCAGTCTCCCACTACCATGGTGAGTGCCCAAATGAGCACACCATAGGCTGGGGCCAGACTCTCTCTGCCTCTGCAGAAGAATTCATGACACAATTAACACTTACAGCAGTCACGTGACCCTGCCAAGACTCCACTGTCACAACCATGGCAGCAGAGTTATGCTCGCTTTGGTGCTATCCCAATGGCTATGTATGTATGAATGTATTGTAGAGTGAAACAGCTTCCACTGGAGAGACTGAGGAAGAGCCGTACCTCAGAATAGAGCATGCCCTGGATGAAAGGAGACCTATGATAGGATATCTGGGGTCAAAATCCCTACTCTAATAAGGCAGACTGGAATTTGAAAATGCTGGGATGCTCTAATTATTGGGCAGGAAGAGGAGTGTTACCCGCACACCTGCTCTTTCAGTGTTAATGAAAAAAGCTGGACCTTGGATGCAGGTCTAACTGTTTGATGCAGTGTCCTTCGCCACAGCCCCTAGGTCACTAAGGGTGCGTCTTCACAGCAGTATTATTTTGGAATAACTGACGTTATTTCAAAATAATAATGCGAGCGTCTACACAGCAATTCCGTTATTTCAAATAATTTTGAAATAACGGATGGCTTAGTCCGACTTCTGTAAACCTCATTCCATGAGGAATAACACCTATTCCGAAATAGCTATTACAAAATAGCAGTAGTGTGGATGCTCCATTGCTGTTATTTTGAATTAGCTTCTCCCCAGGGCTATTGAAAGTAATTACTCCATAGTGCCTGCTGGATCTCTAAATCGAGGTAGCACATCCACATTAGGGGAACCTGCCTCGGACTAATTTGGAGGCTTCTCTGTAGTGTAGATGTGCTATTTTGAAATAAGCTGTTTCAGAGTATTTCTTTCAGAATAGCTTATTTGGAAATAAATGTGCAGTGTAGATGTACACTAAGTGTGTAAGGAACAGAGTTCACTAACTGTCATGCACAGAATTTGTCTGTGGTTTTCACCAGTGTATATACATTTGACTATGGCACAGCAGCCAGATGAAGTATGAGGGCTTCAGCATGGTACAGCCGCCTTTAATTACGCATTAATTAGAACAGGAGTAAGTGAGCACATGCCTTTACTTGGCACCATGTATGCAAGAGACTGTAGCTCTCTGAGCCAGGGCGTGGTGAGGATGCCTTGGTTGGGTTGTCTTTCAGAAATTCACATAAGAGTGAGCCCAAGGAATCCTCCCTGGACTATAGGCATGTGCAGAATGTACAGGAGGGTTCTCTTGGCTCTGCAGAGATGGACTAAATTTATACAAACATTAAGGGTTAGCTTCATTTATGTGCTGCCAGTAGGCTTGGCATAGGATCTGATGTTTCTGTAAAACTTATTTGCTTACTTAGATTAGCCTAAATGAGCGATCTTTATCTTCTCCAGGGAATCCTGGTCTACCGTCTCCTAGCCAATAGAAATTATTAGTTTCATACTGAAAGCTACAATGGTTTCACGCACACTCTCTGTAGCCATGACTCATTGCAAACAAGTGTTGGAAACACTGAGGGATGGTCTACACTGAAAACTTACGCTGGCAGTGATGTCTCTGGGGGAGCGGGGGCGTGAAGACTCTGAACCCCCAAGTGATGTAGCTACGCCGCCCCCAACTCCTGTGTAGACAGTGCTAGGTCAATGGAAAAATCATTCCATGGACACAGCTACCACTTCTCAGGCAGGTGGATTAACAGCAACAGGAGGAGTGAGTGTCTACATTGAAGGGCTGCTTTGCCACTCCACCATTTTCAGTATGGACACATACGCCCTGCACTCAGGGGACTCAGAGGGCTGGGGGAGGGGTACAGTGTGCTCTGGGTGGGATGGAGGGCTGGCTACCCCGATCCCTTCTGGACCACGGATGTTGCCAGACCAGAGAGTCCCAGACCAGAGAAATTCATCTGTACTTCCTTTTGTTTGTTTGAAACCTGCTACCTATGAATTTCATTTGGTGACCCCTAGTTCTTGTGCTATAGGAAGGAGTAAATAACTCTTCCTTATATATTTTCTCCACACCACTCATGATTTTATAGACCCCTTAGTCATCTCTTTTCCAAAATGAAAAGTCCCAGTCTTATTAATCTCTTTTCATATGGCACCTGTTCCAAACCCCTAATCATATTTGTTGCCCTTTTTCTGAACCTTCCAATATATCTTTTTTGAGATAAGGCAACTACATCTGCACCTAGCATTCAAGATGCGAGAATACTATGGATTTATAAAGAGGCAATATGATATTTTCTGTCTTGTTATATATCCCGTTCTTAATGATTCCCAACATTTTGTTTGCTTTTTTGCCT